ATATATATATAAAGAAATACTGAAGGGAAGAGGCAGCAAATACAGTAGAAGTAAATTGGGGTGTATCCGCAGGTTAACTATTTTTATTTCTTTTTTTCTTCCTTTTCCTTCCTAAAAAAATTATTTTCTCCTCTCCTTCTTAATCTTAATTCTTTATTTTATGCCCTTTGGGGTGTATCTGCTGCTGCTGCTGCTGCTGCTGCTGTTGCTGCTGCTGCCCTTGTTGCTTGCTGCTTCTCTTTAGTGCCTTTAATGTTTAATTTTGCTTCGTGTGGGGTGTCTCCGGTGCTGGTACTTCTGCTGCTGTTGCCGCTGTTGTTGTTGTTGCTGCTGCTGCTGCTGCTGTTGCTGTTGCTGTTGCTGTTGCTGCCTTCGATGTCTTCTTTATGTCTTTTCTTTCCTTCGTTTTTTATTCCTTTCTTTGTTTCTTCTTTCTTTTCTCTTTTATTCTTTTTTACTGCTTCTTCTTTCTCTTGCTTCTGCTGAATACCATTTTCTTCGCGGCTCCTCTTATTCTTGCTGCTGCTGCTGCTGCTGCTGCTGCTGCTGCTGCTGCTGCTTCCTGCAGCAGCCTGCTGCTGCTCTCCCCTTTCTGCTGTTTCTGCGGCAGTTTCTCGTTCATCCGACTTCTCTTTGTCCTTCACCCTTCCGTTTGCTGCTGCTGTTGCTGCTGTTGCTGCTGTTGCTGCTGTTGCTGCTGCAGGCTTTCTCCCCCTTCTCCCCTTTACGCTGCGGTTCCCGTCTGGGCATTCTTTCTGTTTCCTTTTCCTCTGTTTCTGCTTCTGCTGCTTCTGCTGCTTCTGCTGCTCTATATCGCTGCCTTCTTTCTCCTCTCCGCTGCTGCTGCTGCTGGAGGCATTAATATTATTATGTTCGTTATTTCCTGCTTCTTTCTCTTTCTCTTCTCCTTCTCCCTCCTCTTCCTCTTCTTCTCCCTCTCTCCCTTCTTCTGCCTCCTCTTCTTCTTCCTCCTCATCATCATCATCTTCTTCTTCTTCCTCCTCCTCCTCATCATCATCATTAGATTCAGTCTCTGAATGTTTACTATATAACCTTCTCTTTGCTGTCTCCCCATACACCGCAGTGGGGTCCCATTCTGTATCACTTTCATCTGTACTTGAATCAAAAGGATCACGAGCAAATAATAATGCACAAGTGTTGCTGCCGTTCCTGCTGCTGCTCTTGCTGCTGCTGCTGCTGCTCTTGTTGCTTGTTGTCTTGCTGCTCCGGGATGGGCTCCCTGTTTCCTTGCTACTTTTATCCCGCTGTTTTGCTCCTCCTCCTCCTCCTCCTCCTCCTCCTCCTCCTCCTCCTGCTCCTGCTGCTTCTCCTGCTGCTGCTGCTGCTGCTGTTTTATTTTTATCTATTGAAGATGAATTTTGCATTTTTTCTTTTTTTCTTTCTAAGGCAATTTCCAATAACATATGATACCTGCATATACACCCCAACAATAATAAGGAATTATATACACAACATATATATTATAACAATTATTATTATATTATATATTATATTTATAATGTTTACTATGTATATTTATACTGTTATATTTATGGTGTTTATTGCATAAAAAGGCAACAAGAAACAAATGAGCAAATGGGGAAGACAAGTCAATGCATGCATAAGATAAATATATATAATTAAATATATAAAATAAATAGTTTATTTATGTTAATTTATATAATTATAATAAATTAAATAATAATAATAATTTACCTAGTAGATCTTGAGTAACGAATAGGTTGTGCTCTCCTACCGAACCTCATCATAGAAATATTCATATTATTTAGATCGTCATTTCCTCCTCCTTCTTCCTCATCATCATCATCTATTACTATTATTTCCTTTGGCTCCTCCTTCTTATTACCTTCACATTTATCTTCTTCTGCTGCTGTTGCTGTTGCTGCTGCTGCTGCTGCTGCTGTTTCTGCTGCTGGTGATGGGGGTGGGTCTGCTGTTTCTGGTGGTTCGCCTGGTGGTTCTGTTGCTGCTGCTGATGCTGCTTCTGATGATGCCTCTGGTGCTGCTTCTGATGGTTCTCCTGTTGCTTCTGTTGCTGCTTCTGTTGCTTCTGCTGTTGTTGCTGTTGCTTCTGCTGCTGCTGGTTCTGCTGCAGTAGCTGCATGCGGATCTGTGTCCCCACATGCTGCAGCAGCACTCAGCTGTGCATCTTGTGGGGAGGCCGCCATCCCAAGGGGGAGGCAAAGAAAAGAAACAATGAGAGAACAAAATTCAAGAGGATATACCTCTTATAATTGCTGTTGCCGCTGCTGCTGCTGCTGTTGCGGCTGTCGCTGTTGCTGCTGTCTTCTACACACTCTGCTGTTGTCTCTTACTATTGCTGCTGCTGCTTGGCTTGTCTTCGTTGCAGTGGCCCTAACGCCACATACAGAAGCAGCAGAATCTGTGTGTATGAATTGCTGCTCTCCTTTATTCCCCCATAAGAAAGCCTAAGTTGACAAAGAGGAAAAAAGGTAAAAAAGAAGGTGGGGGAGGCACCTTTACTGTATGTGCAGATGACTATGATAAGAAGCAGCTAAGATAAACTGCAAAAAAATGTAATTAAAGAAATAAATAAATGTAAAGAATAGACGTAAATCCGCTTAAAGAAGCAAATGACACTCCGCTAGTTTGTCTCAAGTTGAACACGCCGCAGACAAAAATAGCTGAATAGAGAGGGAGAGGGGAAAAAGCACTAAAGAAGCAGCGGCGAGTTAAAAGAGGAAAAATCAAGAAAGGAAAAGAAATCAAATTAAGGTCCGCAGATTCTGTCTTCCTTTTATTTGTTGGCAAACTCCCTTCTGTTGCCCGAGAGCAACAACAACTCCTCTCAAGCCTCCGAAGAAGAAGGAAAGCCGCGCCTATATATATAAAATGGCAGCAAAAGAGTCAGTAAGAAGCAGACAAATACATAAACAAACTGTTCTTCGTCATGATTCGTATTATTGCAAAGGAAATAAAAAACCAAAGATTATACCGATATAGGATAATGGAAGCTCCTATTCTTGTTCAATTTCGGGTGTACATGCACCTGAGGGCCCGCCGCCGAAATCTTGAATTTCAAGGACGTGTCTGCAAGCCTGTTCATGAGAAAAGGCATAAAAACTTATTTTATTGCATTTTATATTCAATTATACAAAGAAAAAGTATTTTAAATGGTGATAAAACGCTATATGATGAACTCTTGCAACAACTCGCAGCCATTGAATGTGTTGTGTCGACAGCGGCAGCTTATAAGCAGCCTTTGCCAGACTTCTAAGAATGGTCCAATAAGAAAGCTAAAGTAAATAAGAAAATAAAAGGAATAAATCAATTAATAAGCTTATTTTAACGTCATTATACCTCACAGCATTTGCTTTCTCTTCCATATTCTGTGCCAGTTCAACTTCCTTACACAATGCAGACACCCCAATTCTCCTCCTCCTGTAGGACAGGGAAAGTTCCGCCTTTTTGAGCTGTATGTACACCTGAGACTTATAAATATGACTAATGACCATCTCTGTACTTCTTTCCCTTCCCTCATTATGTGTTATGGAGGGAGAGGATGCCTCTTTATAGACTAGGCAAATTGAATAACGAGTAATACAGCTAATACCTTCTCTAGGGAGCATACTTTGCTGTTGTTGTTGTTGCTGCTGCTGTTTCTGTTGCTCTTGCTGCTGCTTTTGCTGCTATATCTGCTGTTTCGACCCGAGAACCAGCTGAAGCAGCAGTACCAGTTGCTGCATGCATGCATGCATGCATGCATATGCTGCTTCAGGCTGCTACCTTCGTTGTATATCCTTCACATGGGAGTTTTTAAGCAAAACAAAATCCTTTTAGATGCATTATATTTATAATTTTTTTCTTTTTCTTGTATTTTCTTCTCTTACTCTTACTGCATGCAGACCCCTGCAGCAGCAGCAGCAGCAGCAGCAGCAGGAAGGGATTATTGGTTCTGTTCTTCTTCTTAGGAACAAATATCATTAAGAAGGAGTATTATATTCTTGTGTTTTGTTTGTTTTGCTGCTGCAGCACAGCAGCAGCTCCTTCCTATGTAGTTAGCCACAAGTTGCTCCCCTATGGAAAATCTTCAGCTGTATATGAATATAAAAGCATTCTTATATATA